TTTCCTTTGGAATAACTGCTATTTTCTACCCTTCCTCCTTCTCCTCCTCCTCCTTCATTCCCCTCCGTATTTAAAATAAGGGATAAGTCTTGTGTCCTTACCTACTATATAGCTTTGACATACTCAAACGTCAGGAACTATAAAATGTGCTGAATGGGTTATTAACTTGAAATATTGGAATGAAACTGCGAGGCAGAAGATGCAACACTGACGTATGTAAATGTTTTTTAAAACAAAATAATAGCAAAATGGAATAAATTGTCAGGTAATGTGGTTAGCATGAAATCAGTACAGTCGTTCAAGAACCAGCTGGACAAACACTTTGCAAAGATAGGGTTCAATTAGATACATCGTTTCCTAGTGGGAGTTGCCAGAGTCTTCAGGACCTACATGCTCAATATGAATCTACGATGTGAATAAATTGTTTGGAAAACCAACAAGTTAATGATTGAGATACTTGTGTAACATTTGGGTATGTTTATTCTGAAAACGTTTGCAGAATAAAGATACCCAAATGCTGCACGAGCGTCTCATTTATCATAAATGTACGAGTCTAGATTGCTGCGTCAGCCCAAAATGCTTTATACGTCAGAAAACGTAACAAGTTAGTCAGCAAGGCAAAGGCTATAATGAGGGCGGACAGGAAAGAGATGTTGCCTAGTACACTCGCTGCCTCACTTAGCCACTCGCTAAATTTACACTGAACACAAGTGGATCGTCATATATTTACAACTGATAGGCCAGTCTGAAGTCAACAGATTCCTGAAATCTGTCCAGACACTGCACCAGGACGATCACTTGACAAGGCAACTGGGTTAATAATAGTGGCAGAAGTAGAGATTTGTAATAATCCTAGCATAACTGGTGGTAATCAGAAGTAGCACCACTGATACACACAAGCTGTATGAATGCCATTGGAGTAACACCAGTATAGATAGTAACTAATAATCTGACAGTAGTTGAAGCCCACGTCTCTTATCTAGCTCCCTCTCTCCTCTAAATTCCACTTCACCTTTTCCAGTATAGACAGTATAGACTTGGCAGGTGATGCAACATACACCCAGTGAAAAGTAGTGGCGTCACTGGTACACTAAGAGAAAACACAATAAGTGTCCGGAGCCCAAGACTGTTCAACAGCCTCCCACCAGCAATAAGGGGCATTACGGGAAGACCCCTGGTTGTCTTCAAGAGGGAGCTGGACAGATACCTAAAGACGGTGCCGGATCAGCCGGGCTGTGGCTCGTACGTTGGATTGCGTGCGGCCAGCAGTAACAGCCTCGTTGATCAGGCCCTGATCCACCGGGAGGCCTGGTCGTGGACCGGGCCGCGGGGGCGTTGATCCCCGGAATGCCCTCCAGGTAGACTCCAGGATAGTATGATATATTTTTCCTTGCTTTCATGCTGGCAAGGAGAGTGGAGAGTAGGGAGGGAGCCTTTTGCTTTTCTATTCTTGACTCATTCACCTAGATAATACACGATTGACCTTAATCTAGGTAGAAGTAGGTAGTTCTTATCACATAACTTTGGTGTGGACTTGCAAGTACTCTGTTTCCTGTCTTTCCCTTGTTCCTCCTCTTCGTCATTGTCTTCTGTTCTTTCTCCTACTTATCTTCCTCTCTTTTTCCTCCTCGTCCTCCTTCTTGCCGCTGTGATGCACACGCTGGTTTACCAACTAGCAATTAGCTGAACAAGTGTTGCTTCGTACACCTGTTGGACATTAGTCAGCACCTGTAGGCAGTTGAGTCATCTAGATAAGTGAGGACGCCCATGTGGGCGTGTGTGGTGGGTGAGACACTGGGCGTGTGTGGTGGGTGAGACACTGGGCGTGTGTGGTGGGTGAGACACTGGGCGTGACATACGTGTGGGCGTGTGTACCGGGTGAGACACTTGTGGGCTTGTGTGGTGTAAAAGCGGGCATTATACACCCTAAAGATTGTCATAGGATACCGTCGTCTGTCATAGGATACCGCAGAGAGCCATAGGATTCCTGTGTAAAATAGATGTTAGAAAATGCACCATATTTATTGTGGAAAAGGGCACTTACATAGAGGTCAGGACAGTAAAGAGCACATTTCACCACGAGTTGCTTAATCAGTCCCAGTGATGGACTGATGAAGCTACTCGTGGCGAAAAGATTCCTTAATAAATGTCCTGAATTGTGTGTAAATGTCGTTTTGTACAGTCTATCTACAATTTTAATGAAGCTCTGGTCGTGTGTTTTGAGGTGCTCTGAGGTGCGTTGCCTGCACCTCAGTGTGTACTCGACTCCGCGTTGCACTCAAGTTGCTTTAATCGCCGAATTGTACTGGCTAAGTTGTGCTGACTGAGTTGCATTCACCTTTTGAGGGCAAAGGTACAAAATACCGGTGGAACTGGTGTGGTGATACCGACAGGTTGTAGGCAGAAGACGCACACAAATACTTGTTAAGACATTATTAATGAAACGTTTCGCCATGGGTGGCATCTTCAGTCTGAAGAAGACTGATGAAATAAAGAATTAGACGCATGTGCAACATCTGGGTATCTTTATTTGTAGACTCAAGACTACGGTTCTCTTCACGAGCTCCAAAGCGGAGGGACTGATTACCTCAACTTTTGTATATAATTCTTCGCATCATGTCCTTGTACTGATAAAGTCA